GTTTAGTTCTGGCTGGAAATGTTAACAACATTGCTGTGTGCTCCAGAGCCAGAGATAATTTTCCATACTCTGCAGCAAGGTACGCACCAGCTGAGGCACTGGTTTAAAAATGTGCTCTGCTAATTTGTAGTCAAGTTTTAGATCCAGTCCAGTATTTCAGCTCCCTGGATCTATAAAGATATCTTCACTTACACAGCCAGGAAACAACCTCAAAACAGATTAAAAGATGAGAACTCTTCAAAGACTGAAAGATTAATTTAATGTCCTGCAGATTCTCTCAGTAGGCTAGTGGTAAATAAAAACACCCTACAGCTTTTAAAATCTCTATAAAATATTTATCGGCAAGATTTTTAATGGCAGAATCTGCCTAAGTATTTACTCTCACTAACTTGTATAGTTAAGACTTACATAATTATACTATACACCATTTACTGGAACGGCTTTAAATATTCATTGAGTCCTCGTGTTCTAATGTAAACAAGGCACTTAGAATACCTAGGGTTTTTAATTCCTGCAAGGTGAAAAAGACGTCTGAAGCAGATGTTGCTGCTTGGCTGAGTGTTGCTCTGAAGCAACAGGGCAGATTGATGGCACTCAAATGACAGACCACAGTAGCTTCTGGCTGGAGATGTACATGTCTGCACATCTCTGATTCTGATCCCAAACTAGTGTTCTTCGGGAGCTAGCTCTGCCTAAGTACACAAAGTTGAAAAAAGCATAAAATGGGTGAGTGTCAGTGGAAAATCAGACCTTTACATTTCTGACTGCCTTCACTGAGTCCCATCTGTCTTACTGGTTTGTCAAGAACACCTAGCCAAAACAGGTGGTAAGGGGAGGCAGAGAGGAGCTTATGCACCCCGCTGCACCTTGCGCAGACATTGCGCCTGCTTCTGGAAGTGAAGGAAACTGTGCTCCTTCCACTGTTTGTTAGGGGCGGACAGAGAAAGTATCTATTGCCCGCTCCTTCTGGAGCAGAGGGACAAGGCTTGGGGGCAATGGGCACAATATGGCTCGTGGCTGCCAGGGATGGGAGAGAGGGGCAGGAAAGGCAGACGACTTCAGATGCATCAACCATGAGAACTGCCGCAATTACTCACTCCCCGCCTGCTGCTGTCACTGTTTCTGTATGTCTAGTTGGTTAAAATTAATTTAACCTGCATTTCCTTATACTGCCCTATCAGGTATTATTATTCTATTTCATGCGTAAATAGTTCTGACTTTGCTATTAAACAAGTTCTTGCTTACCTGTGAATTTCAACGTCAAAGGCAAATCAAAACATCACAAACCTATTTGTTCTGAAATGTTATATGAATTTATCCACTAAATCTTGACAGCAAACAGCACAAAATTATCTTTACCCATGTACCAGTAAAGAGCCTGCTTTTAATGAATCACAAATCTGATCCGTTCTACTTGTGCTTAAAGAACTGTGGATGCATTTACCACGGTTGTAGCATTTTAAAAAGCTATTCTAAAGGGGACGAACCCCAGCTCCCCTTCCTTTTAGGAACACTGAGGTTTTGGCGACGGATAACACAGCTGCCTGCTCACTTCAGGCATTGCTCACTCAAAGCGAAATAGTTAACTTCAACGCTTCTTTTATCTTAGACCTTTTAAAGATTAATAAACTAAAAAGCAGCAGCTGATCAAAATAACAAAGGGTGGTAAGGTGTCTTTAATTTCTTATAAGAGCATCTGCAAATTCCTGGTGGAATTCTAGGTCTGGCGCTGATGGAGCTGGCTAAGGATATCGATCGCCACTTGAATTCACTGAATAAATAATGGTTGCCATAGTTATTGAGCATTCACAACTGGTGGGGAAGCACGGAAATCTCCAAAACACCTCCTGTGACAGTTTTGCTGGAAAATCACCCAATTAATTCTGTCTCATATCATGAAAATTATGGGAGATAGGCAGGATGCTTGGACTCCTTGTACTAGAATTTCAACTGTAATTGAGCATCTCTGCCGCCTGTTTTAGCAGCTAAAGAGAGAAGGGCACTTGCTGTCTCCTATTTTGTGTGGCAGAAAGGGTAACTGACGTCGGATCACCCCAACTGGTCTGTGAAATCTTATGCTTTCAGAGCATTTTTTGCTTTGAGTGCTGGAGCATGGATTTGGGTTACACCAAAGAAGACGAGTTCTCTCAATTTGTGGTAGGGGTGCTGATGAGTTTTTTTTTCTCTCCCTTTGCAGAACGACATGGATTAAAAGAACCAAAGAAAGTGGAAGAGCTATGCAACAAGATCACAAGCAGTTTGAAAGATCACTTAACTTTCAGTTGCCAAAACAAAGGACAACCGCTTGAGTCTGCAGAGCCGAAGGTGCTGGGTGTTCTGGCTGACTTGCGTTCTCTCTGCACACTGGGACTGCAGCGCATCTTCTACCTGAAACTGGAAGATTTGGTGCCAGCCCCTTCCATTATCGACAGGCTGTTTCTGGACACCTTACCCTTCTGAGTCAAACCACCTTCCCGAAAGGCAGACGCCCACCAGAGCAGGCAAACGGATCGTGACTTACAGCTAACATTTCTGCCCTCACTTAACAGAAAAGCAGCTCCGGGTCTAAACTGAGGTCTTTTCTGGCGCTTTGTCCTTACAACCTGAGGCCTGAAACTTACTGGCTTACTGGTTTGGGGTTGTGTTCTTTTGTTTTCTTTTGTGTGATTTGGGTTTTTTAAATGGCTAATATGGCACTTTTGGACAATGCTATCCCAGCAGCAGTAAAAGGTTAACATGACTGTTTTAAATCTGTTGTTTAACACCTCATGGTATGTGAGGAAAAAAATGATAGAAGCTGTGTTTGAAAACAAGAACAGCAAATAGTTGTTTGCCAGGGTAGTATGTGTTTTGTGAGGAGACCTTTAGCATACTTCCTGCATCAAGGGCACATACATCAGCACAATCTAAACCAGAATCCACTTTTTTATCAAAGTACGTAGAATTGAACATTTCATACAAATCAAATATAGCAAAATGACAATGGCTGTTAGCTCCCATGTTCAAGTGCAATTTTCTGAAGTGCTGTCTTACTAAGTCTTGTTTATTAACTAATTTATTTTACTATGAAAACAAACGGAAGAAATCAAGGAGAAAATCACATGCACTAACTTACCTGACAGAGTTTTCCAAACTTGATTCCATGTAGCGTGACTTACTGACAAATGTATGTGGAAGACACGGGAGCAACTGTGGCTCAGTTGTTCCTCAGCTAAGGAAATCCGAGTAAGTAGTGACTGGAGCACACAGGGTCAGCATCAGGGATAGTTCGGTTTTAGACTTTTCACGTAAGCGACTAGTTAGTAAACAGACAGAAGATGGTTTTCAAGAACAAGCAAGTCTTGTAAAATAGTATGAATGTAAGTGCTAGGAAGGATATAGTGGGCTGCGTTTAAACATTCCGTGTTCGTACTCCTTTTTGTATGTTTATACTGTTGATGCCATATTAATATGAGATAATTTGTTGCATAGTGTCTTTATTTGTATAAATGTTTGTATGCATGGTATATTGTAATGGCTTTGCCTGTATTTATTGCAATGACTGCCAGCTCATGGGAGCCCTGTTACACACGAGAACTAAATGGGGTGTTCACACTGACTCAGATGCACCAGTTGGAAAACTATATACATATATATAAGGTGTGTATATATATATGTATATACCTATATTTGTGTGCGTGTGTGTGTGCGCGTGTCTTTTTATTAACCATTTGTATATAAAATATCTGTCAAATCACAAGCAGAGTTATTTTACAGCCTATTTGCAGTGACTTCTAAGGCAGTACTGTTTAGCACTTTGATATTAAAATCTTGCTCATGTTTTGCTAAATTCAAATAATATTTAAAAAGTTTAGTTCTAAAAAACTTTATATGCACTGTATTAAGTCGAAATTTTGTTGGTCATTTTGCTAAGGAAATTTTTGAATGTCAACCTGATGTCACTGTATCTTTTGTTAGCTTTAAACATTCTAGCTTTTGTCTTTTTTTAAACTATGCTGTTTATATGGAAATTAAATTATACAATCAAACAGATGCCAAAAGAATTGCCTAATTGCTGCAAAGGATAACCCAGATATCGAGTCACTGTATGGTTTTCAAATAGTAATCTGGTATTTTATCACTTACTATGTTTGGATGTGCTTTTATGAAAAAATTATTCTTATATCAAGATTTATAGTAGTGTCAATAGGGAAACAGACTTCTAATCACTATAGTTAATATTTCCAGTTTACCTGCAGATAATATTTGGAAAAGTATTGCTTTTTGTATTGACTTTTAAGCTTATGTGCAAACATAATAGCATAATTAAATATCAGAGAAGCTAATGTTTCTTGTAGGTTGCTGTAACAAGCCTGACCAGCAAGACAAATATATTTTGACTGAATTTGCTTTTGTATATACTAAATATATATATATACACGTATATATATATACACTCACACACATGTGCGCATACGAAAACATACAGACGCAGAATCTGAAAGTATGTTTACTTCTGTCTCCTTGTGTAAGACACAAGGTCCCTTGAGAAACGACTTTTATCTAGGGACAAATCCTGCCAGGTGCTGAGCACCAGATGAGGGCTTGCAGGCGCTTCTTGCGAGCGGGCCCTTACGAAGACTTTTCAGGCGAATCAGCATAGTACAGTAAAGTTGCTTTTTTGTTGAGCAAGGTTTATTTATTAAGTGGGATGTGAGTGGGAGGTAGCAGGTCCAGAGCCCCGCGTGAGATTTCACGTAGCCGGTGTCCTCCAGTCTTCCATAGGTAGTCTTAACTGTGATACTCTCCCAAATCCCGTCCTCTGTGGAATTGTCCTTCGTGTCAACTTCAACACACAGATTCATCCTAGAGTACAACCAGTGACAGGTCACAGTGGTAAAAGAAAGAGGTAATGCAGAATAAATCTACTACTTTTCTTAGAGCTCTCTCAGTGTGAACATGCCTTTGTCTAGGCAGAATTCAGGAATATATCAGGTGTTAAGGGAGAGTGCCTTGCTTTTATTTCAGACAGTGTTTCAAGAGTTTCTTCCCTCCGCTAACTGCAGTACTTTTTTTCTTTTTTTTTTTTTTTGTTGGTGGTGTTAACCTGTGGGTTGAAAGAAATGCTCTTGTACATATACAATGTAAATTAAAATTATTAAATTGAATAACATTTTTTTCAGAGGCCCCATGTGTGTTGAATAAGTATGCTTAATTCTGTTAAAATCTGATGTGAATTTTCTATCATTTATAAAACATTAAAAAAATTGTCTACTTGAGTCTTAAAAGTGGAAAAATTGGTGAAGCATGCTTAAGAACACTGGCAATTTAATGGCTAGTCTTTCGATTAAAATAGCTTTCATATAAATACAGTAAGACCTGCAGTACCTGGGTATGCAATCTCAGTTAGAGATTGGGAGCTGGACCACAGCTGTCCCAGAGGCTGAACTACCTGGGGATGAGAGCAGAGAGACCACCTGCCCCTCGCTGTACTTCTCCTCCATGCCGGGAAGAGACGGTAATGATCTCACAGCCGATGACAGCCACAAGGGAGGGAGGGGATGGCTGTAGGGCTCGTGGTCCCATTGCCCCTATGCCTGGCTAGAAACAGGACACAGTTCCGATCCCATCTTCTGCCCCTTTGTGCCTGGTAGAACATCCTTCCAGCAGGCACCTGCAGCATTTTCTTTAAATGTGCCTCCAGTTCCTCTCCTTGCCATGCCTTTGCTTTGCAGGAGGGATCGCTTATCCCCTGCCAGACCAAACTGTTTGGCTACAAATGCATTTTCTACAAATGCAGTTCTGAGAGGCATCTGCCACTGTTCCGGGTATCGCCATAAGTACCAATGGCTCTGGCATACCTCCACGAGAGCTGTTCTGCTGCAGGAGCTGCTCGGCTGGAGGCCACATCAAACGATGTGCTGTGGTGGGCTGCCGGATCAGCAGCTTCTTCTTCAGAAATGTGACAAAACAAAAGGTTGCTCAGGCTAATCTGAATGATTTGTTGCTTTTTTTCCTATGCCTTATTTTTAAAATTAAACTGAAAATCTTATAATCCTTGATGAGAACAGCAAGGAGTTCTGCATAATAGTCCCCTGTTAGGCAAAACACACAGATCTTGTGACCAGCTTGCGCCAGGGTCTGAATTTTCACCCTACAAGACAAAGCTTTTCCTCACTAAACTCACGAGTATCTCAGTTTGTACTTACTTCAGGGGCCGTAGATTGTGTCCTTCGACGTGAGAACTGTGCCCTGATCTCGATCATTTGTGTCCTCATGTGCGCCTGACGTGCTCTCCTAAACCACATCAGAGTCCTTGCGACAGATGTGATGCCCGATGATTGACTCTGGCAGTGGAAGGGTGGGACGAGTCAGGACTATGACAGAGGGTTCCTCTGGTAGAGACCATCCTTCGGCAGGAGGCTGGCACCAGAGCACCCCAAAACGAGCAACTTCAACTAGAGGTGAGTCAAATCTCTTTCTACAGCTTTCCTGCCTTTTCACGTTCAGGTTCATTTGTCCAGTATACAAAGCTAAAATTTCAGTTGTTGCAGAGAGGGAGGGGAGAGAGGTTTAATTGTATAAAACGAAGCATGGCTCTGACAAAAATTGGCAACTCCCTCTGTGGACACTATGAAGCATGCTTTTTGATTAATTATTTGTATTATAGCAACACCTAGAGGCCACAACAGAGATCAGGACCCCATTTTGCTACCTACCCTAATTAGCACCTCCAGCACCCACCCGTGAGAAGCTCCAGTCCAAATAGACAAGAGAAGAGGTGCAAGACAGGAAAAAAAGGAGTAGAGTGCCATGCCCCAGCGCGTATAGCATTTCAGTCAGAGAGTGGCAAATTAAAACTTTTGTTCATTGAGCTAGTGGCCAGTGAATGCTTTGATTTTGCTTTCCTTTCCTTTCCTTTCCTTTCCCTGGGCAATTTATGCTGCCACTGTATCGAATTTTATGCAAAGTCAATAAAAGCATTGAAAAATTCAAAGTAACCCATGTATTCAAACTGATCTTGTTTACTCTGCATATATAAATCACCCGTGAACCTATTCAAAATCCTGGTCAATCACAGGTTCGGAACTAAGCTGCGATACAAACTAGATAGTATTTGGAAAAGAGATATTTAGCTGTTCTTCATTAAATTAATGAAACTGATCATTAGGAATATTGCAAGATATGGATTAAACAATAATTACTAATGGATAAAAAAGATTAGCTTTTAAAAATGCCAAACTATTGATGCAGTAATTGAGTAAATGGGGAGTCAATTAATCAAATTCTTAGCAGCAGATGACATATTTGAGAACTGTATTCTAGACCTACATTTGTGAGAACTACCAATACAGTGATCTGTCAAGTAAAAGAAAACTTGTTTACCATATGCAAACACTTTTAGCAACTTTTCTTCTGTTTTCTTTTTTAACATTAGACACCTTCACTTTTATATTCATAAGATGGAATGTCCTGGCTGCATTTGGTTACAGAAGAAGTTGGAACACATGAAGTTGTGACATGGCTGTAAAAGTCAGACAAGATCAAGATTCTGACTTAAACTTACAAAAGCAAGGATTTTCTTTAAAGGGCAGGGTGGGATTCCAGCTGTCAAGAGATACTATGTATATCGCAAGATACTTCAGGGTGTTTAATGGAACTACTTTAATATCAAGTACAGGATTCTGAAGTCATGCAAGAGACAAGACCACAGGGAAAAAAAGCCATTTTTTTCTCATTGTTTAATATTTTCATAGAATCACAGAATCATTTCGAAGGTTAGAATAGAGCTTTAAGATCATTGAGTCCAACCATTAACACAACACTGCCAAGTGCACCACTAAACCATGTCCCTTTAGCCACATCTACACGTCTTTTGAACACCTCCAGGGAAGGTGACTCAGCCACTTCCCTGGGCAGCCTGACGCTTGATAACCCTTTTGGTGAAGGAATTTTTCCCAAAATCCAGTCTAAACCTCCCCTGGTACAACCTGAGGCCATTTCCTCTTGTCCTGTCCCTTGTTACTTGGGAGAGGAGACCAACACCTTCCTCACTACAACCTCCTCTCAGGTAGTTGTAGAGAGCAATAAGGTCCCCCCTCAGCCTCCTCTTCTCCAGACTAAACAGTCCCAGCTC